AGTGTAGAATGCTTATCTTTGTTTTTGTTGTTGTTGTTGTTGTTTTGTTTTGTTTTGAGACAGAGTCTCACTCTGTCATCCGAGCTACAGTGCCATGGTATCAGCCTAGCTCACAGCAACCTCAAACTCCTGGGCTCAATGACCTTCTTGCCTCAGCTTCTTGAGTAGCTGGGACTATAGGCACACACTACCATGCCTGGCTAATTTTTTTCTATTTTTAGTAGAGACAGGGTCTCACTCTTGCTCAGGTTGGTCTCTAACTCCTGACCTCAAGCAATCCTCTTGCCTTAGCCTCCCACAGTGCTAGGATTATAGGCATGAGCCACCATGTCCAACCTCTTTCTTTCTTTTTGATGTTCCAAGATTTCTTTTATCATTTCTGTTTTGTTTATAGAACTTCCTTTAGCTATTCTTTTAGAGTAGGTCCAAACGGAGACATATTCTCTTAGTTTTCCTTCATCTGAGAATGTCTTCATTTCCCTTTCATTACTAAAGGATATTTTTGTGGGATATAGGATTTAGTTCTTTTCTTTCAGCACTTGAAAAATGTGCTAATTCCCTCTGGCCTACATGGTTTCTGATAGGAAATCTGTTGTCATTCGAATCACTGTTTTCCTGTTAAATCATTGTTTTTCTATATCTGCTTTCAAGATTTTTTTGTCTTTAGTTTTCAGAAGTTTGACTATGATGTGTTTTAGTGTAGATTTCTTTGGGTTTATCATGGTTGGAGTTCTCTCTCTCAGCTGTTGAATCTATAGGTTTATGTTTTTTGCCAAATTTGGAAAATTTTCAGCCATTATTCCTTCCAATATTTTTCAGCCCCACTCTCTCTCTCCTCTAATCCTAGGACTCCAATGACTCAAATGTTATATCTTTTGTAATAGTTCCACAGACTCTGTCCATATTTTCCAGTCTATTTGATGTGTAATTGTTACATATTCAAGCTCACTGATTATTTCCTTTGTCCCTTCCATTCTGTTGTTCAACCCATCTACCGAGATTTTCATTTTAGTTATTGTGTTTTTCAGTTCTAAAATTTCCATTTGGTTATTTATGTCTTATTTGCTTGACAAGACTTTCTAATTCTTTGCTGACACTTTCTGTTCTTTTTATTTGTTTCAAGCATGCTTGTAATTTCTCATTGAAGCATTTATCTTTGTCAGATAATTCTAACATCTCAGTCACGTTAGTGTTGACATATATTGATTGTCTTTGTCATTCAGTTTGAGATCTTTCTGGTTCTTTGTATGATGAATGATTTCCCATTGGATACAGTTCATTTTGGATATTATGTTATGAGACTCTTCATTTTATTTAAACCTTTTGTTTTAGCTGATTTTTTATGACATTGCTCTAGTAGGGAAAAGGGGAGGTGCTGCCTTGTTACTGCCAGATTTGGGTGAAAGTTCAGGCTCCCCACTCAGCCTTTGCTGGCATAGTTGGGGGTAAGGGAGGTCACAATTTTTCCTGTGGTGTTTGGCTATAGTAGAGCAGCAATTGGCTAAAAGTTTTATGTCTTTCTAGGCTGTCCCTTTCCTGGTGCTTTGGCTAGAGAGTAGGCTTTTGTTGGGACTTTTAAAAATAAATCTGCTTCTGTTGATGTTTTCTGAATTGCTGGCTTCTCCAGCAAACAGTCTGGGGTATTTGAGGCAAAAAGAAAGCCCAGGGAACTCATGTCTATGTCATTCTTTAGGTCTCGAGATCCTTAGCTAGTAGGTTTTCTTCTCTCCACCTTTTTTTGGTCTTCTTATGTTTGTCTTGTATGTAATATCTAGGGTTTTTAAATGTGGGAAAAGCACGTTCACTCCATCTTCCTGAAAGCAGAATTTCCCAATTGACTTTAGGATCCCATATTAAATCTCATAATTTATCTCTGAAGGTATGGTGTTTAAAACTCACATTTTAATATGCTGTCTTTGTTGAGTGAGTGGATCATACTCATGTAGCTTTGAGATATTGAGGCAGAACCATAGATAAAAGTGTCCCCAGAGTTCCTCAGCTGCTGAGCTGGTGACAGATACCTTGAGTCTATACCACTCTTTAACTAATAGTCTTCAATATGTGCCCAGAACTGCATTGGGAGTTTAAGAGGCTATGAAGAAAGATATGGCCTTGATTCTCAGGGTATTTAATATCTAGTTGGGAAGTCCAGAAAAATTAATTTTCTATCTCAGGGCCTAGCATATATAATAGACACTCAACACATGCTTATTGCATGAATGAATGCTGCTGGATAAATGCTAATTGCCCCTAAACAACAAGTGCTAAATTGAATTGTGTGATGCAGACTAGAAGTGCTATATGAAGCCAGGAGAGAGGCAGCAGTGTGGGCTGAGGTAGTGAAGAAGGGTTTTCCTAAGGAGGAGGTTGAGTTGTCATGTTGGTAGAGTAGGATCTGGAGGTATTTTTTGAAGGACAAATGAATAGGACTTATTAACAGACTGTGTGTGGGGAATGAAAGACAGTAAAAAGCCAAAGAGAGTTTGGTTCAGATCCTGGGTAGTGGGGAGACAAGGAGAATATTGAATTTGATCTTGTACCTGATTAGCTTGAGCTGTTAGTAAAACCTCCAAGCCCAAGTGCACAGTAAGTATTTGGAATATCTGAAGCTGAGGGAAAAATTATACTAGAAAAACCCATCATTTCAGCTGAGAGTCTCCAGAAGATATAGGACCTAGTCCCAACTTTGTAGCCAATAAACAATGTGATCTAAGGCAATTCATAACTCCTCCCTGGGCTTTGGTTTTCTTATCTATGAAATGGGATGCATTGGCAGATGATTTTTTATGAGATAACATTTGGATCAGTATAGTATCTGGTATTTGGAAGGAGCCCTTTACTTGTTGGAATATTTCCCTTCCAGTTCTAAAGGTCTAGGATTGTGTGATTTCTTCGAAATGTGAACAGTCCCTAATATAGCTGCCTTCTATGGCTGAGTTTTTACTTAGTAGTTTTTTTTTTTTTTCCCAGCAAAGCCCACCAGTTTATATTATGTGAAGCTAAGAAGGGGAGGGAGGACTATACATATTGTGTCTCAATCTTTTCAGACTTCCTAAGTTTTTCTCTCTTTTGAGCATTTGCAGTTTTCATGCTTGAATCAGAAAAGCCTCCATTTTGGCTGACTCCAGCCCTCCACTCAGGGGAGTATAATGGGCAGGTAGCCATTAGTACACAGGAAGGGAGGGCTTGGTGATATCTTAAAGCCATTTAATTTTATTTATTTCCAGTTTGCTCTACATTTGTTCCACAGATCTGCACAGTTTAAAAAGGGGTGGGGATGAAAATTAAGTAGGAATAGAGAAAAGGATGAGCATATTTGCCTTTCAATATTAAAGTGGGGCTCAGAGCACTAACCTAAAAAGATTTCTGGGCTTCATTTCATCTTTCTAAAAATTGAACTCCGCCATAACTGTCCACATAGCATCTGAAGAGTTGACTTTGGTTGGAGAAACAGTTCTACATCTTGTTACTAATATTTTATAATGTCAGCCCTCTGTCTATCATAGATAGTATTTAACTATTTGTTTCTTTCAAATTAAAAAATATCTTTTAGATTTTAAAGATAAGCTCATTACAAAAATAAGAAAATGAAAATCACTCATAATCCTCAGACATAGAGATAATCATTGTTAATATTTCTATTTATTTCCTTCTAGTTTTCTTTTTTCTACACATACACACACAATCATACTGTATGTTCTTTTGTGTATCCTCCCTTCCCTCCCTAAATTTAGGTTGTGAGCATTTCTTTGTCATTAAACATTTTTCTTTTTCTTTTCCTTTTTTTTTTTTTTTGAGACGGAGTCTCACTCTGTTGCCTGGCCTAGAGTGCCATGGCGTCAGCCTAGCTCACAGTAACCTCAAACTCCTGGGCTCAAGTAATCCTACTGCCTCAGCCCCCTGAGTAGCTGGGACTACAGGCATGCGCCACCATGCCTGGCTAATTTTTTCTATATACGTTAGTTGGCCAATTAATTTCTTTCTATTTATAGTAGAGATGGGCTCTCACTCTTGCTCAGGCTGGTTTCAAACTCCTGATCTTGAGCGGTCCACCCGCCTCAGCCTCCCAGAGTGCTAGGTAGGATTACAGGCATGAGCCACTGCGCCCGGCCTAAATATTTTTCTAAACGTGATTTTAAATAACTACATAACTACATAGCATTTCATAGTATAAATGTTACCGTATAGGATTTCATAATATGGACAATTTAAGTTGTTTCCACTTTTTCTCTGTTTTGAATGATGCTACAATGAATTTCCTATTTATATTTTTGTGCATCTCTATTTTTTTAAAGAATAAATCTTTAGAAAGAGATTTAAGGGTAAAAGGATAAGAGCATTGGGTAAAAGGATAAGAGCATTGTTAAGGGTTTGGCACATTCTGCCAAGTTAGCCTGTGGGAGAGTTGTACCAATTTGCATTCCCATTAATGTTTGAGAATGCCTGACTCACTGTATCAACACAGGATACTTTACCATCATATATACATGACATTATTTTGGATTATTTCAATTCAAATGGCATTTACTGAGCACCTACTATGTGTAGGGTACTGTGCTAGGCGTTAGACTTACTCCTGTTATGCAGTGTAAATGCTAGACAGATAACACATATATAACAAAGATGTTAAAAAATGCAAGTGAAATATAACAACACATAAATCTCTATGTCAAGGCTGACATCATTCAGTCTTTAAATGGCTACTCATTGAAGACACTGTGCTAGCTAATTAAAAAAATAATTTCGATCTTGTAAGCACTTAAAGCAGAATGCATTAATATGAATCTTGCAAACAACAGAGATTCAGTTGTGATCATTTATACTCTATTTCCTGATTAAATTGGAGCAGGAATGGAAAGGAATATTACAAATCCACATCTTTTTAAAAAGCAAAAAATACCCATTCGCATGAATGGATAACTTCTGCTTTTGTCAGTTTCCTTTAGAAAGTTAACCTGTTGGTTATCAGAGAAAAAGGACACAACACACAGAAAGCTAACCTCCTTCTGGCAGCTGGGGACAATTTGTCAGTCTTCTTTGAAACGTGGCTTTGTGCTCACTGGAGAAGGCAGCTGGAACAGAAAAAGCATGACAAACAAAAGCTGAAATCCACATGAAGAAAGGTCTTTTTCCCAAATATTACTGCCTGAATTAGCAACTGTCAGAACAGAAAGTACATGTATATCTTCCCAGCAACAAGCATATCTGGTACTAGAGAAGGCCCCCTATGCCACTGGAGGCATTTAGAATAGTTGTAGCCCTGAATAGGGCTGCTGGATAGCATTTAAACAAGCCTTCCCTCCCCCATGAAAAATTACATCCTCAAATTAAATCTAACACTGAGACTAAAAAAATGAAAATGTCGTGTTTTAAAATCAGTTAAAAGCATTTACTATTCTGAAAAGGAAGACATACTTAATATATATTGGATGATGGTATAAGAAATAGAAGTTTAAGTGTATGATTTCCAGTTAAAAAGCAACCAATGGAATAACTAAAAAATAATACTATCAAACTGGAAACAACCCAAATGGCCATCAACTGGGGAATGGATAAACTGTGGCACATGCATGCAATGGAATACTACTCAGCAATACACAAGAATAAACTAGTGATACTTGAATCTCAAAATAGTTATCCTGAGTGAAAGAAGGCAGTCTAAAAAGGTTACATGCTGTATGATTCCATTCCTATAACATTCCAGAAAAGGCAAAACAGTTTTATATTGTGGGAACATAAACAGATCAGTAGTTGTCAGTGTTTGGGGGTAAAGGGGGGAGTTGATTACAAAGGGCAGTATGAGGGAATTTGGGGAGGTGATGGAACTGTTCTACATTGTGATTGTGGTGATGGTTACATAACTTTATGTGTTTGCCTAAATTCAGAACTGTACAACAAAAAAGTAAATTTTACTGTATGCTATTTAAAAAAGTGAATTAGAAAATTTCATGAAAATAATACTATTGAACATGAGGAGGTGGAAGAAAGAGATGCAGTTGGGAATAATGTGAAGAGAGCTAAATCCTCCATTTTTATAACAGAGAGTTAAGAGATAAGGTCCAAAATGGATAAATCAAGAATAGGAGCAGAGGTATGTTATTTAGAGATAGAGACGCAAACAACAGTTGAATTGAAAACAGAATCTATTAAAAATGGTTGCCTCTGAGGAGTTGGACTGGGGGTAGGGAGGGGTGGGCAGAGAATTGTCATTTTTTTATTACAAGGTTTTCTGTATTAGTTGATATTTTTAAACCATGCTCATGTATTACTTTGATTTAAAAATAAATGTAGTAGAAAAGACACTGGACTGAAAATCAAGAAATCTTATCTCTAACCCTGATTCTGTGCTCATTGAACAAATCCCCTCTCTTCTCTGGGCCTTGGTTTCTACATCTGTATGATAAAGGGGTTGGACTACATGATCTTTTCGTACCTAAAGAAAATTATAATGTTAGATTATTTACGTATCCACAATTCTTTGTTGAATGCAAAGCTAAGAAACAGGCATTTTTAGTTTTAAAGCTGGAAGAAACTAAGTCATCAAATTCACCAGTCTCTTTTTAATCACTGAAGAAACCAAGACACAGACTGGTTAAAAGACTTGCTTAGAATGACAATTAATCAGCAACAGAGGTAGGACTCAAGCTCAAGGCTTCTTGTGGCTCTTGCCTTTGCACCACACAGCTTCTCCCAGGCCTAATGGAATCAGTCCTGGGCACCAGGGCTGACAAAAATTCCCTGGGATGACACCAGGGATGTAATTCACATGCCGACATGGTTTCATTGGCCTGGGAGATGAGTCAGAATTTTGGAAGTGGTCCCTGACATAAGCATGTATGACACAATACCATAGGCATCCCAAAGTTGGTCAAGGCTATGTAAATTCCAATTTTGGGCCTCCATTCCCTAATAGGCTGCTGTTGGCAGCTGCTGCTAGCCTACTGACTTCCCCTTTTGTGTTATAGGAATCCTACCACTCTGAAATGCCACCATTCTCATTCTCATGTATTAATAAAATAATCAGTTTATCCATTTTTTTCTCATTAGTCTTTCTCTCTAGAACCATTAAGCTCGTGCTATGTTTCACTGAAATCTATCAAGTATAACAGAAGATATGTCCACTTGAAAAATTTTATCAGCTACTGTCAAATTATAATAAGAAGGCACCTTGATATGATTTAGCAATCCTCCTAGAAAGAGAGTTGAAATAAACCCCTGACTTTGACCAAACCATCTTCCTAGGGAAGACTTTCCATGTTGACCAGCAAGCAGGCTAAAAGCATGTGCATTTTGCCAACTATTCCCTCCCCCCTTTGCTGGGGCCTGCAGGCTCAATTGCCCCTCATCGCAAAGGTTTGAGGTTTACAGAATAAGGACACTATTATGTGGGGCTATCATTCTTCCTAAGTGGAAACAACACTGCCCTTTGTAAGCTTCCAGCTAACTTCAAAGGGTGTGGCTATCTTTCTGTGCTCCAAGGGAAGCTTCCTTGGGAAACATTGCTCACAGTGCCTTTCCAGTACTAGAATCTTCTTCAGTTGACAGTGAGTTAGAACAGGAATTTTCAGGCAGGCCCCCATTGGTACACTGTCTACCTTAGAAGCCAGCTTGTATTTTTTGAAACCTCCTTGGAAAACATTTGTTTTCCAACTTTTGTGCTCCACTTCCATCACTGCTCCCTCTCAAGCCTGGCTCTCTGCCCAGTTCTGAATCCTGCTTTACCTACTTCCTGGCATTCACTTCACAACAGCTGGCCCAGGGATCTCAAGTACTTAGCCTCAGCTGCCAGCTTAGGGAAGGAGAGGCCCCTGTAGTTGAGCCTGTGACAAAGACAGCATTTGTTCCCACACTGGTATTCTTAATGTCAACAGCAGTGACAGGCTCCAAAGGGGATCATGCCCAGTCACTGCCCACTTGACGAGAACTCCACAAGCCCAGGGATGTTCATACATCCAGCTTTGACTCTCCCCACAATGCTGTGAGGTGACTAGAGAGTAGTCATACGACTCCCATTTTACAGTGGAGAAAAGCAAATGCCCAGAGACTAGGGGATTCATCCAAGGGAACACTCATCATTTTGTTCAAAACAAGAATTAAGTTAGCTGGGTCTGAGAAATGTTGGTTTCTGTGATTTGCCTATTTGTTTATGTGAAAAGTGCTATAAGCTGGCTTGCTCATGATGGAGTGGCCATAGTGGTGCCACCCAAAGGGATGGATGATAGAGAGGAGGTTGCTGTGAGGGTAGAGGTGGCTCAGTGCACTGCAGCAGGATGGCAAAGAGACACTGTGCACAAGACCATCTCTCCCAGGGAGCTGGGTGGCATTCCTGTCTTCCTTCTACCAATAAACGTTGACTGTGCCAGGCACTGAAATGATGGCGATGACTCAGATTTGCCCTTGTCCTCAGGGTGTTCATAGTTAGATGAGGGCATCACCAGTCTCAGTGGTGACTGAGGGCTACAACAAAGAGTCCTCCCTCAGACTTGAGGAAGTTCATGCTTCTTCCTGGGCTGGCCAATAGAAAATGACATTTGTGTGGTTTTTCTAACTGTAGTGATGGGTGTGCACTGAATGACTCACTTGGATTCTCTTCCTTGATAGTAGGATTCATTTGTCACTAATCTGGCCAGACTACTCATAATAATGTTTAAAAATATAGTTTCAATAAGGCCTCATCTCAGTTGATTTTGAGTTAATAAAAAAAGGGAGATTGTCGCTTTCAGCCAGAACCACTAACTTCGCCAAAATGAAGAACACAAAGGGAAAGAGAAGAGGCACCTGATCCATGTCTTATTTGCCTTTTAGAGCAGTGGTCCCCAACCTTTTTGGCACCAGGGACCAGTTACATAGAAGATAATTTTTCCACGGACTGGGGGTGGGGTTTGGTTTTGGGATGATTCAAGTGCATTACATTTATTATGCAGTCGCACCTCTCTGCTAATGACAATCTGTATTTGCAGCCACTCCCCAGCAGTAGCATCACTGCCTCAGCTCCATCTCAGCTCATTAGGCATTAGATTCTCATAAGGAGCCCACAACCTAGTTCCCTCCCATGTGCAGTTTCCAGTAGGGTTCACGCTCCTCTGAGAATCGAATGCGGCTGCTGATCTGACTGGAGGCAGAGCCTATGGGGAGCGGCTATAAATACAGATGAAACTTCACTTGCTTGCCCACTGCTCACCTCCTGCTGTGAGGCCTGGTTTCTAACAGGCCATGGGCTGGTCTGCAGCTGGGGGACTGGGGACTGAAGTTTTAAAGAACATGACGTTGTCCTTTTGCCCACATACATGCAAATCTACAAGACAGGTGATGTTGTAGATATCAAGGGAATGGGCACTGTTCAGAAAGGAATGCCTCACAAATGTAACTACATCAAAACTGGAAGAGTCTACAGTGTGACCCAGCATACTGTTGGTATTGTTGTAAATAAACAAGTTAAGGACCTGATTTTTGCCAAGAGAATGAATGCACATATGTGAATGTGCATATTGAGCATATTAAGAATATTAAGCACACTGAGAGCAGAGATAGCTTCCTGAAGGAAAATGATCAGAAAAAGAAGGAAGCCAAAGAGAAAGGTGCCTGGGTTCAACTGAAGCCCCAGCCTGCTCTACCCAGAGCAGTACACTTTGTGAGAACCAAAAGAAAGGATCCTGAGCTGCTGGACCCCATTCCCTGTGAATTCATGGCATAATAGGTATAAAAAAAATAAAAGAAAATAAAAGAATTGTGGACTTTAAAATAAAAAAAGGACTCTGACTCGAGGGGGGAGGAGGGCATGGGCAATATAAGTAACCTTAACATTTGTACCCACATAATATGCTAAAATAAAAAAATATATAATAATAATAATAAAAAGGGAGATTATCCTGGGTGGGCCTGACTTAATCAGGTGAAAGCTATTGGAAGAGTGACTGGGCCTTTCCTGAAGAGAGACAGCATTTCCTTCTGGCCTTGAAACTAATGACCAAGTTTTGAGGAGAAGGAAAGCCTCTAGGAGCTGAGGGTCTCAGCACTATAGCGGCAAGGAACTAAATTCTGCCAATAACCTAAACAAGCTTGCAAGAGGACC